AGGCGTGGTTTTCTGTGGTGTTTGTATAAACCCTCTTTTGCATGTCAAATTCTGATTCGCCAGTAAACCAAAATATGACAATTATAAAAACTATCCCACGCCACCTTTTCTTTAGTTCAAGCGTCCTAGAGAAGTCTCGGACCGGCCATCCGGACTTCCTCTTCAGCCAAAAGAACCTCGACAAGCTGGATAAAATCTGTTGCAGTTACACCTGACCACAACGGTTCCTTCAGAATAAAAGCTGAACCTCACGACCCCTTCAGGGTCTCGCTGATGCCAGTGATAACCTGTCGTGACCTGGAAGCATTCCCAGACTAGTCTGGTCGGCACCGCTGCTTTTCTACCGGCTTCAGTACCAAGGAGGGTCCGAGAGGACCTCGGCATTCTGGATCTAACAGAGGCTTCCCCTGGGGTACGTAGACCGACAGATGGCGTCTCATGTGTGTTATAAATATCCTACTAAAGCTTAGAGCGAAACATTCACTCCCACTCAGAACTAAATGCTTCTCCGGATCCGCTGGTTCTGATAACATTCCACACACACACCATCGTTCATCTCACGTCTCACTCCACCTTAGTCCATCAGTACACAGAGTGTTAAAGTTAGTCTTGTTTAAATTCTGTAGAAATAAATTTCTTAACTATTAAAACCTGACTCTCTCTCTTTCCTCTGAGTTAATACGAAGTGTCGCTTAATCCCTGCAATAAAAACTTCTGATCTTCTGGTTAAAACAGTCAAAGATCAATCAGACTGATGTTTCATATTTCTATGGAATCTCACATTTTATGGTTCATAAGTAAGATGTAAACAACCCATCCTTTACAGACCAACTTTAAACCACGACTCACCTTAAAACGGTGTCTCACCGAACTCCAACCCCAGTGAGCTGGACAAGTGGTACTGAAAGTTCAAAATTCCAATTCTAAGAATGAATTTGTTTGTGTCTGCAGGTTGCTTAAGGAATATTTATTTATTTACCTATATTTATAACATGATGTGGTCGCAAACAAGTTGGAAAAATCCTGCTAGCATTTTATGGGCCGTATGATAACGGAAGATCAATCTCTAATGTAATTATGAAGTTGCTGAACATTTTCATTTTGACTTCATGTACATTTTAAATTACTGTACACTCACAGCTGTGCGCGCACACCTCGCCGTATAACCAGAAAACACTTTTCTGATACAATATTACAAAAGCGTGTGACTCGTTTTCATCTTTGCTCATCACAATGTGCTTAACGCTTGCACATCTAGCGAGTCCACATGTCGATAGTTTAGTGATCTGCGATATCAGACGAAAAAATGTTTTTCACTGTATAAACTAATCTACACTTTAGTCCTTTTAAAAGGTTGGAATCAGCAAATAAATTCATACATATTCTCATTGTTTATATGCAACAAAGACTAAAGCAGACCAACCAGCAGCCGCATTTCTGGAAAAATTGCCTAACTGGATGTCAAGAGTGTACATCATTTCACGTCGTATTCCTCCGCTTATCCGGGTCCAGGTCCGGGTCGCGGGGGCAGCATCCCAACTAGGAAGCTCCAGACCGTTCTCTCCCCGGCCACCTCCACCAGCTCCTCCGGCAGGACCCCAAGGCGTTCCCGGACCAGATTGGAGATGTAACCTCTCCAACGTGTCCTGGGTCGACCCGGGGGCCTCCTGCCGGCAGGACATGCCCGAAACTCCTCCCCAGGGAGGCGTCCAGGAGGCATCCTGACCAGATGCCCAAACCACCTCAACTGACTCCTTTAGATCCGGAGGAGCAGCGGTTCTACTCCGAGTCCCTCCCGAATGTCCGAGCTCCTCACCCCATCTCTAAGGCTGAGCCCGGCCACCCTACGGAGGAAACTCATTTCGGCCGCTTGTATCCGCGATCTCGTTCTTTCGGTCATTACCCAAAGCTCATGACCATAGGTGAGGATTGGGATGTAGATCGACCGGTAAATTGAGAGCCTGGCCTTCTGGCTCAGCTCCCTCTTCACCACGACAGATCGGCTCAGCGTCCGCATCACTGCAGACGCCGAACCAATCCGCCTGTCGATCTCCCGATCCCTCGTACCCTCACTCGTGAACAAGACCCCGAGATACTTAAAATCCTCCACTTGAGGTAGGACCTCTCCCCCGACCCGGAGTTGGCAAGCCACCCTTTTCCGGTCATTTAACAGGAACTGTAAATGGACTTTCACATCTGACTTGGATTGCATTCATGTTTTAATTTCCCAGAACACAATAAGAGCGATGATTCAAAGTGCTGTAGTTTCAACATGCCAACATCTTCTTTAACAGAAGAAACTTCCTCTGAGTCTCCTTCTCGCTGACCAGGGGTTCTAGTCCCAGACATAAGAGACAGAACTGGCTGAACACAACGAGTGATTTGGTCACGGTTCATCAACATGTCCACTGACAGAAATCTACTTTCTCTAGCCAGGTAGCGGAGGACCTCGTGTGAGACAGTAAAACCACAACAGAGCGTGACGTCACACACCCTCGTTGCCACTCAATGTTAGCTTCCTGCTAAGATGACATGACACTGCACTGAATACTGCTAGCTAGCATACCACAAATATTAATCAGAGAACATAAAAGTAAACTTAAAGTGACAGTGTGTATTTTTCCTGGCAACAGGGGGCAGTAGATATGTAAATTGTTTCAAACAAGCAGTATTTTTGTGTTGGAGTAAGACCTAACCAACGGATGCCAATTAGGGTCAAAAAGCCCTAGGGAGTGCAAACTTTAGCAAAATAACAAGCACATCAGACTCCCTTTCATCACTGGCGACAAGTGAAGAGGTAAATGTGTAAAACAACAATGTTTTTAAGAATGACGGGAGTTTTGTAACCATTTATTACAAATTTGTAAATGTATTTTGTCCTCATGGGCTCCCGTAGAAGGAAACATGGCATCTAATATGGCGTCGCCCAGAGAATTAGACCTGCTTCCATGTATTTTAGACCTGATTTTTATGGTTAAGTGCTACGAAGCCGCCAATAATTTTCAACAACTGGGCATCATTTCATTCATTTTCAACAACATTTTGGTGGATACTTCCAGCGATTAATGGTAAAAACTACACATTGTCCCTTTAATCTACACATATCTTTCTCTTTTGCATCTTCCTCTTGTTTTTTTTTCTTTTTTCAAAACATACCCCTGATGCCTTCTGCTGCTTCTCAAACATTTGACTGACATTCAAAAAGGAAGGGGACGGGTGCAGCACTCAAAGTGAAAAAAAGTTGTGATGGGTGGGCGAACAAGATACTAACGTTTCCACACTCATTTGGTCTTCATCAGTTTGGTCATCAGGTTACTCTGAGAGCAAATACGTGTTGAAGCGTTAGTATCTTGTTCACACCCATTACAACGTTCTCACTTTGAGTGCACCAGCCGTGCATCGTCTTTTTAAATTCTGATCGTTCATTAGCTGCCGTAGCGCCGATTATTGAGTGGATTATCAACAGTCGCTCTGAGGAATCTATAAAATCCACGAGGACTTCATCTTCTTTGGACTGTCACGCACCTTTCCGTCGTTCCGTTTTTGGACAATCTGCCTTTTCCGTGAAGGATGCTGGTCAGTGGAACATCTACCTGATGACATTAAGACCTGTAGCTCATTGGCAGTTTTAAAAATCTACTTAAAAATTCTCAGAACTATAAGCACCGAGGTCTCAAACATACTTCAATATATTGTTGTATGTGTACATATAGTGATGTGTGTATTTTTATTGTTTTGGTAATGTCTTGTTCAAGGACGTAATTTTCACTTTAGAAGTGGGGGGGACACGGGGGGGGGGGTGGTCTTGACAGTATGCTCTGATGGGAAACCGGCTTCAACACAAACGGTTGTTTTCCGCTTGGTCCTAGAGCTCAACCAGTGTCAATTTAATATAGCGTAATATTGTTTTTGGATGGTAAAAATTGCAGGGGTCAAAACTTGACTTTGGAAAAAGTGGGGGGGACATGTCCCCCCTGTCCCCCCAAAAAATTATGTCCATGGTCTTGTTGTATCTTATGAATTTTGCTTATTTGTGTATTTGCAATGTTTTCAGAACTGCAGATGGGAATTAGCTTCAAGCTAAAGTTGGTGCAATGCATCAAATTTCCATATTTATGTTTAATATTGTACACGGTCCTTAAATAAACATGAACATAAAAAATCGTGAAGCTCTATCACATAGATTCTCATTTCACTCACCAACTCTTTTGAAGGTCGTGTCAGATTTTTTTGTGCTTTCTGACTCTAAGAAATGAAAGTAAGGCGGTTCCAGCAGATTCCAGATGCCTGAGACGGGAGCGAGACCCTGGAACTCGTGCAAAGAAACTGAGAAAGAACCCTCAGCAACACGGAGACGTTTCGGAAATTCTCTTGTAAATTTTGTTTGCAAATTTCTCATCAACAGTTGCAGCTGAGTAAAATTCCGACTTTGACGAACTTCTTCCTACTTTTCAGAACCAAACAATAATCTGAGTGGTTTCTGTTGCAGGTCAGAAACTGACAGCTGATTGGATCTCTGCTGAACACCACCTCACTAGCACTTCAAAAACATCCAAATGATCCCTTAGATTGAGGTTCTGTGGTCTACCTTTCTCCATCTTGTCTTCTGTCTCTTGTTATTGTCAACAATCAGCAGCAGCGTGATGAGATCACGTGATCCCGGATGGCTTCTTTACTGCAGGAGCAACAGATAGAAGCAAATGTTAGAAGAAAGGTTTAAATTCTGGATTCAGAGATGGAAATTTCTACAAAATAAAATCATAAATAATTTACCACAGGAATAAGTTAAATGTGTCGCATATTAAAATATATCTCAACTTTAAATGAATGGAGCCTCGTGGTTAGAAGACGCTGATTGGTTAGCTCATCGTGAAACCGCGCCCCTTTGACCGAGACCGCTCGCTGTGATTGGCTCCCTGAACCGTCCATCCAGCGCGAGGCTGCCCCGCTAACGCAGCCGGTCCCTCCCCCACCTCCTCCCGCTGCAGGCTGGGTAGGGGACCGCGGACAGCTCCCGTCTGAGGAGCAGAGTCACACCGGAGGAGGAGAGGGCTGGACATGGGGGCGCCGCAGCACAGGCCCGCTTCACCGAGATAAACACTGGGGGGGTTTCGTGTGCTCACACCGGGGACGACACACAAAGACGCCGAGCTGGAGAGGCCATAAGAGGAGGGGGTGAGGAGAACCGGGGAATACGGCTACGGACCCATCCCGGAGCATCACGGGAGAAGCAGCGAGAGAAAGAAGGGGAAGGAGGAGAGATAATTCCGCTCGACCTGATGGACTGAGGACAGATGAATGAAGACTGCTTACACTAACGCCTATCGATGCCTGGCCAAGGACCTGGACGCTTACGCCATGAACACGGACATGACAATGGACGGCATCGGCAGCCTGCACGGCGGGGTGGCGGTCAGCTCCGTGGCCCCTGATGCGGAGCTGATGAGCGGCCACAGCCCGCACCACGGCCGCGGCTCGTCGGTGGCGCCCGGGGGACACGGAGCGGCGGCTGCGGCTGCCGCGGCGGCAGCGTCCACCCTGCGGATACACCAGGACCTGGCCGCTGCAGCCGCGTCCTCCCGCTCGGCCATGGTGTCCGGCATGGCCACGATCCTGGACGGCAGCGGGGAGTACCGGCCGGAGCTGTCCCTGCCGCTGCACCACGCCATGAGCGTGCCGTGCGACTCGTCCTCTCCCGGGATGGGGATGAGCGGCACCTACACCACCCTCACGCCGCTGCAGCCGCTGCCCCCCATCTCCACCGTGTCAGACAAGTTCCACCATCACCACCACCACCACCACCACCAGCGGCTCTCTGGGAATGTCAGTGGGAGCTTCACTCTGATGCGGGACGAGCGGGGACTTCCGGGCATGAACAACATTTACAGCCCGTACCACAAGGACCACATGTCCGGGATGGGTCAGAGCCTGTCCCCGGTGCTGGGTAACGGTCTGGGCTCCATCCACAACACCCAGCAGGGGCTCCACAACTACGGAACGTCCACACACGGGGGCCACGACAAGATGCTGAACTTCGACCACACCGCCTCCATGCTGGCCAGAGGGGACCACCACCACCAGCACCGGGGCCTCGGGGGCCCGGCGGCCGGGATGATGCCTCACCTGAACGGCATGCACCACCCGGGACACTCGGCCGCGTCCTCGGCGGGCCACCACCCCCACCTCCAGTCTCCATCACTCGGGCCCGTGTTGGCTTCCACCCGGGAACGACCGCCCTCTTCCTCGGGGACGCAGGGGGGGAACAGCTCGGGGCAGCTGGAGGAGATCAACACCAAGGAGGTGGCGCAGCGGATCACGGCGGAGCTGAAGAGGTACAGCATCCCGCAGGCCATCTTCGCCCAGAGGGTGCTGTGCCGCTCCCAGGGGACTCTGTCGGACCTCCTGCGGAACCCCAAACCCTGGAGTAAACTAAAGTCCGGCCGGGAGACCTTCAGGAGGATGTGGAAGTGGCTGCAGGAGCCCGAGTTTCAGAGGATGTCGGCGCTCAGACTGGCAGGTAGGAGGAGGAGGAGAGAGCCGTGGGTTTCAGGAGGAGAAAATCCTCCAGATTTCACCTGAAAGTGACTTTTTGCCCTGTTTGTTTTGGTCTGCTCTTCCGCAGCTGGAGCGGGTTTATTTAGATCCGCGGGTGTTTTGATTATTGATCAATAACAAGCGGATCGATAGGAAATGACAAGGTCATGGGAGTTCCCTCCACCCCCCAAACACACACACACACACACACACACACACGCACACACACACACACACACAGCTTCAGGATAGTGATCTTGTAGGAAAAACGGACTAAATCCTAACTAAAGAGTTATTTTTTGTGTGGAGGCGGCTTTTTGATTTTGTTGTGAACAGACGGGGTGTGTGTGTGTGTGTGTGTGTGTGTGTGTGTGTGTGTGTGTGTGTGTGTGTGTGTGTGTGTGTGTGTGTGTGTGTGTGTGTGTGTGGCCCCCTCTAGTGAGAATCTCAGCAGAAAACCTCTTTTGTCTGAGAGACGCTGAAACCGAACAAACTGAACCTTTTTGCTGCTCTATTGATTTTAGTGGGTTGGCGGTGAGATTTAATCTGTTTTCCTGATTCTGGCCATCCTAACCTGCTTCACTTTAATATTATTCTATGTAGAAAAACAAAGATGTCGTTCTATCTTAAACCCACGCGATTGAAATTATTTTAAAGCTATTTTATATTATCTAAATAATGTATTTTAAAATGTGTTCCTTTATTATTTAAACCACTCCCTGTTACAAGAAAGCATAAGAGCATTGACAATTTGAGCAGGATCACAAAACTAAAGGCCAAATCATTTTGAACAAATATCACTAATTTATCTTTTGAAGTCAAAACCTTAAAGATTCAGCCTAAGTTAGTCTTTTTATTCCTTCATTTGTTTTGCTTATTTCCTCTATTTATAACTAGTCTACAGTTGAATGTAATTAAATATTGGAATTAAAAACCAAATAAATAGAAATACAAATACATGAAAAATAAAGATGAGTTGTGTCAGATTTTAAGTGTTTCAAGTGTTATATATATGTGTGTGTGTGTATAAATGACCAGAAAGATTATTTATATTATCTCATCAGAATATTGTGAAAACTTTAGAAATATATATATTAAAAAATCCCATTTTACAGAAATTTTTAAGAGGACAAGTTTTTCTGTGTTAACCAGTAAAAAGCCTACTTTCTATTTTTATTCAGGCATTTGTGAAACTTTTTGTCAGATTTCTAACAGTTTGAAATGTAACGTCAGGTTGAACGTTGAGATGTTTGGAAACTTCACAAACCAAAAAGTTCTGTATCAGCGGGCTGAGCAGCAAATAACTGATTTTTATTACTTCTTCTTTTCCTTTGAGGAGTTTTAAACAAAAAAAACACTTCTGTAGACAAAATAACATAAGAAGTCACAAAGTTAACCACTTTTAATGAAAGTAACTAAAGTCAGCAGTTGTTTTGTTGAATTTCAACTTTAATTTGCTGTATTTAAAGTGTAATAATGAGCGGAAGTTTTAAATATTGTCGTAAAAGACCCTAAAATATTAAAATGTGTACAAAAATGAATTTTAAAGACCATTAAAATTAAATAAAGCAGTTCTGTCCAACAATAAAAGTGATTTCACAAAATCTGGAGCTGAATTATGATTCTTTTCATTTTCTCATCTTTTATGTTTCTTCTCATCTCTTTAATGATTTTAACATTTACAGAAATGGACAAAAAATAATTATAGATGTTCGCCATTTAAAAAATTAGACATTTTGAGTTGGTTGAATAAATTATTTATTTTACATTTTTAAAACAAATCTCACCTGAGTTCGAACCTAAAATGTCTAACTTCTACCAGGTCTCGCTTTGTCAATAAAGAAGCAGATTGAATAATCGGGATTTTCTGAGTTATTAGAAGCAAAACAATTTTTTTAGAGCGGCAACAAACCAAAGAAAAGAAAATAAATAATTAAATAAATAAATATGCATTTACTGTTTCTGAAATTACACATAAATAAATGTTGAATTAATGGTAAACAATAAATATTTATTATAAATATTCAGTTTTTATCAAACATTTCTCCCTGATTAATTAGTAAAACAAAATATAGTTTCAAATAAGAAAAAAACGTAAAATTTTACAGAATAATTTCCTATTTTGAAATGTTTTTACATAACAGCCATATTATATTTTATAAAAACACTTAATTCTCAAATCAGTTGATCAAAACAGCATCTTCAAATGGTTTCACCCTTTCCATGAATTTATGATTTTAGCAGGTTTGATTTTAAAACTGGATATCGTTCAAGGTTTGTCTTCACAAAGAAAACAGCAAAACGTGTTTATTATTTGGGTTGATGTTTAAATAGCAGACAGAAAATTAGATGTGGGTTAAATCAGTGGATCTGACTGGGATTTCATTAAAGATTCTTCCATTTTCTGGACAGGTGCTATATAATGTTTTACAGCCACATGAGCAGTAGAGAACAGAGTTGTGTGTGTGTGTGTGTGTGTGTGTGTGTGTGTGTGTGTGTGTGTGTGTGTGTGTGTGTGTGTGTGTGTGTGTGTGTCATGCGACCTGTCCTCCCCTGTGTGATGTAAAATGTCATTGAACAGCCACGTATGCTTTATAGTATGCAATCATTTGCTCCCTCCATGGGTGGTACTTTTCTCCTCCATGTTTACGATTCTCTTCAGGGATTTTTGTTGATTCAATTGGTGCAAAAACTCCAAAATTCCATTTTAGGAATTCAAATGTTCTAAACTGTGTTTCTCTTCTCTTAAAGAAGTTTTTGGATTTACATGAACCACCTTTGCAAAATAGTTACTTAGAAAGGTCTGGTTTCCATAGAGATGAGTAATACTTGTCCTTTCTAAAATATGAATGTGTGTGCTGAATGTGAATTTTTTATCCAACCTCATCAGCTGCTGTATTAGCCGCAGAAAGGGAATAGATGAGAAAACGATCGCATCAGAAAAGTCCGGTCTCTTCTACATTAAAGGGAAAACCTGTATTTATGGCCCCGCCCACCTTGGCTTGGGACCGCCCACAGGAAGGAGAGAGACAAGTGCGTCTAATAAGAGCTAACCATGAGCAGCATAGACATGAATACGTAGACACCCAATTGGGCATTGGAGAGCGTAACAGCGCCATATTGGAAGGGTTTCCTCACTCTCCAAAGTCAGTGTGAGCCACTTTGCCCATTTTTGTGCAGCCTACGGTTGCAACAACCGGCTTATTAAAAACAGATCACCTGGGATTACAGTGATTTCTCTAGCCTTTGTTTCATTATATTTATATTTTATTTATCGTGCCACACCGTGTCTGATTTTCTGAAAAATCTTGATAAAAATGAATCCTTCCTCAATAGAAATGAATGCACTGAGGGTGAATGGAGACCCATCTAAGATGGCGGCCGGCCACTATGGCAGCTCCAGTAGGGAGTGCCAGCCCACGGGGCGTCTACATATATATGTTCTTGATTAGCGGTTCATAATGTTGGGGTTTGTGTTATTTGTTGTGATAAAACATCAACGTTGCATTTTTTTTCCCCAAAAAAGGAAAAGTGAACGAAGGCAGCAGAAGAGTTTCATTTCTGTCAGTCAGAGGCCAGATGTTTGGATAGAGATGTAAGAAAATATCGATACACTGAAATACTGCGATATTTTGTGTTATGGTGCTGAAATGGTATTTAAAGAGCAAGTCCGCTGAGAAACCATTTTTGTTTGTTAAACTTGAAAATGATCAATCACTCCGACTTTATAATAAATGATAAATGACCCATACTTGTATGGAGACTTTCAAATTTAGAGGACTCCAAAGCACTTTACACTACAGTTCATCATTCATCCATTCACACACTGGTGGTGATGAGCTACGATGTAGCCACAGCTGCCTTGGGGCGCACTGACAGAGGAGGGGCTGACCTGAACAGGCGCCACCGGTTCCTCCAACCAGCAGGCAAGGTGGGTTAGGTATCTTGCCCAAGGACACAATGGCAGAATTCTCTGCTGGGAGCTGGGATTGAATCTGCAACCTTCAAATTACTGGACAACCTGCTCTATCTCCTGAGCTACTGCTCATACAGGCTGAACATGAAAATAGTCTCCTACACCTATCTCCTGCAGTAGCTTCTGATAGAAAACAAGTCCGGTGAAACTCTAGGATAGAAAATCCTGACAGATCTACGTCACACTGTCACTAACGTTCATGGACTCACCCGTCTGGACTCACGACGGGGAAGGCTGTTGTTGGTTTAGCGTCCAGGAAACAGCAGAGAACGTCTCAGCTAGTAGAAGCTAACCGTTAGCATTAGCAACTACACCACACAGCAGAACTCCTCTAGGCTTGTGTTCTTTGTGAAGATAAAACATCAACTTTGCAGAGCAAACAAAGTCAGTGGTAGAGTCGTGTTGCTGTTGGCCAATCAGAGGAGAGATGTCAGGAAATAAAACTCCAGATCACCAATTTCTCCCTCGGCTGACTTCTACTTACTTATAAGGCATTCATTCCTACTAGAGACCGCTGCCAATGTAATAAAATTATAAGTTTATACACACACACACTAACTTCATTTCCTTTGTGCGGTCCAATTGAAACCCCGACAGCTGGTTCGCAGCAGTTTTTACCACCAGCAGAACAACAAAACCTCATAATAACACTAGATGTGTCTTGGAAGCCTCTGGCCTGAGTTTTCTAATCATATTCAGTCTCAAAGTGCCAAATATCGTCTATATTGTGACATATTGCTAGATTATTGTCAATACACTCCCATATTTGCATATCATAAATATCAATGTGTTATTTTAATTATTATCTCAACAGATGATCCAAAGATAGCTGATAAAAAACAAGCGGCGTTTTTTGTAGTGATGCACTGATATGTACATTTTGGGCTGATAACCGATGTTTGCTGATACAGATATACTGACATTAATACTTCTAAAATCAGCAGATTTTGTATAGAATGAAAATTATTAAAGCTGAATTTACGTTTATATGTACACACAACACACAC